ATAGACGTTTTTATATTGTCATCCGATATATATCGTTATATCGAACAGCCCTATTGAAAATTAGTAAAAGTTTTAAAACTAAAGTATAAAAGTATAGAGTATCTAAAAGTATAAAGTATCTAAATCTAAAATATGTCACAATTGACCTCTGACCTCTCCTTCAAGGCCAAAAGATTGATATGAAGTTCAAAGTGATTAAAATGTTAAATAGGTTTTTACCCCACAGCCTTAAAACGCTGATGGGATATTTTTACCTTGCAGGGCGGGCGCGCCGTGTGGACACCTAATTTTGTGAATGCGATAACTGGAGAACAAGGTGAGATTTTCAAATTAATTCAAATCTCAGTGACAGGTGCATGTACAAAAAAACTTAGGGAAAGTTCATCAGCCACCAGTATCTTTGTAAGACTTCTTTAAAAAAAAGGCCTTATCTTTAAAGCAGTTCTTAAAATTCTACTCCCTTTGTTTGTATTGGAAGCATTTAGGAAATGATATGGGGATTCTAAATATCACATTATAGTTTGCATCCCAATAGCATGTCATATTCCACCGCTGATCTCAGTTTTACATTTCATGTCTGCTTTTCTGTCAGGTTTACCCCAGAATGCGTTATTTGTACAAACAAAATCTCCTTCCAGGAATTTGCTGACATCTGTTCATCTTTATAATCAGGCAAGAATTATTAATCTCTCCCTGAGAAAAGTAAATTAAAAACACATAAATGCAAAGTGGGGAATTAACAATACTGAACACAATCACAATAGCTGTGGGCTGCATCAATGCAATGTGGAGTTGCATTCCCATGGAGGTGCACGTGAGGTTACTGCATAGATTACCTTGTAGGTTTTCAGAGCATTTGCGGTTAAAACATACCTATTGTCATGGTGAGCTGTGTGGTAGGCCATGGTTGGACTCAGGTGCAGGACTCAGAGACGGAATATTTAACTTAAAGGTGGCAGTTTTTATTCACTGGCAGAAAACAAACCTAGAAACACAATACATGAGCACTAGAAACAAAACCAAAATTCAAACTAGGAAGGGTGATCTAAACTGGGAGTTCATGACGTGGCATGACATAACCTGACAAAACATGACAACTGAAGAACACACAACTAACGCAGAGGACGCAACAACGGGCAGGGAAAAACACAGGGCTTAAATACATACTGGCGTAATCAGGGAATGGGAGACAGGAGGGAAACACAGCTGGGATAATGCACTCATGACGAGACACGGGGAGCAGAACTGAAATGATAAACATGGGACAAGGACTACCAAAGTAAAACAGGAAACTGAGACAAAGCACCAAGATGCAGACTTGACACTAGGACGCGGCAACATAGGAAGCTGAAGCACAGAGATGATACAAAACGGAAACCACAATCCAAGGACTAAAGGTGTAACCTAAGCAGAAAATCATAATAATAATCAGAACTATCAGTTCACCAATGAACACAAAGCACTGGGTCCGTGACCCAGTACCGTGACACCCATGGCAATATTAACACAGAAGTGTAAATCCAAT